CGCTTATTTTTTTGTTTAACCTTAAAAGTAATAAAAATCTTAATTTGTAAATTATACAAGAATCCATGAAAAAGGAGTAGGAAATAAAATCTGAAAAAAAAAACAAACAAACAAATGAGTATTTGTAATTGAATATAAAAACATGGAAACCAAATTTTTAAATTACCAGTTTCTTGTTTTATTTCAGTTGAGGATCATGCTTTAGCTCTTGAGAAAGTTCAACTAATGGCAAGCATCAAAAGCAATTGAAGTGGGAGCGTATGTCGACTGAACTAGGTTCATCTAACTCCCTTTTCCCTTGTGGTCATGCAATACTGATCTGCTGACACAGACGCAAGTGAATCTTTGTGACAAGTAGATAAAATACAAGACCACGGAAAAGGCAACTAGCAAGATACAGGGCCAGACATGATGATTGTAGAGTCCAGACAATGAGAGAGTGGAGTACATAAAGCATATGGTTCATCATGGTACTGATGTGTCTTCTTGCACCAGGAGGACCTTAGGACCATCGTTTACATGGACATGTGTATGTGAAGAGAGAAAGACAATTCTTTACTCTATACAACAGAATACAGGTATAACATTTAGATTATTTGCTTCAGACTTAAATCTGGGATTCTGAAATGGTGTCAACTGCCATAGCTCCATTGGTTTCACTGGCTTCCACAGTTAGTCCAAATTTTGAGGTCTTTCTTAGCCCTTACTTTGACAAAATTTCCATCAGTAATAAATGGGAATTATGACTGAATATGCATGGAAGGAATAGGCCAGAAGAATAGGCAGTCTCAGTTTGAGTTCTTTGATGTTTATTTCTGTTTAGCTGAAATTTTAGTATTATCTAGCTTTTGTTAAACAGACAGGAAAGGAGACAGTGTGGACTGTTAACAGTAAGAAGATATAATGTGAATGTCACTCAACCAGAAACAGAGTGACATTCAACCAAATGGGTCAGACTGCTAAAAGAAGTACTAAGTTTACTCCAAACACGTTTTTGGTTTAACTGCTGCAAACACATATACCTTTAGTGTGATTTCAAGTGGGCGAGGGATCCAAACCCAAAAGACAGCACGTCCTCCTTTCTGTTTGCCTTAAATTCTGATAGGCTGCTCAACTGGATATGGCAGGATTGCGTGCATGACTTCAAACAAGGGTTATCAAGTTCTTGAGGTGCTGAGTGTACCTGCTGCTAGGACAGAAAATACACAGCAGATGTCTGGAAAAGAAGGCTGACACTCTTCCAGCTGTCCCAGTATTGTGACATGACTATTGGCTGGGATGTCCCAATGCTGTCCTCATTAAGTGTGAAAGAAGAGGTAACTGGACCTTCCTACTACTCTAGTTCTCATTTCAGTTTTTTCCTGCTTTCATTTTAACATTCGGAGCTTAATGTTAATTATTCTCACTCTCCCTGAACTTACTGACAGAACTCATACTTTTTTCTGTAGGAGAAAAAAGAGCAAGTTCTCCCTCTGGCCTTGTATATTTTTCTTCTCTTGGCACTGCATTTTTAAGAGCTCCTTGTTCTAGATGTGTATCACAGTAATTCTGAAAGCATTTATATTTCTCATGTCTTCAGTCCTGGGTTGGCTTAATTTCAAAATAATATTTTGAGTAATGTGCATATGAACTCTCATACAGAGGAAGAGTGAGGTTATATGAATAGATTATGAGCCATACCAGATCTGACTAAGGATCTGACTATGTTTGAATCTTTTTAACTCCCACATTTAACAGTTTAAAGTTAGGCAAGTGTAGTAATACTCTCTTAAAATCTGGGATATGCAACTCCAAGTGTTCAGAGATGGAAGAGTTATATTTGTACTATCTTAAAGTGTTGGATAGATTTTTATTCCACAAATTTTTTGCACATAAACTTTCAGTATCCACTGCATTATTATATGGCTTGGAGTTCAATTGCTTAGGTACACACTGTTATGTGAGTATCTCCTTTTGGAAGAGGTCCCTGCCATTTCCACTTCATGCTGTGCAATTTTTGCATTGCAATCAACAGTGAAGTCACTTCCTATTCATCACATCTGTTTCTCCTCATGACTTACTATCTATCATACTCTTTTGCCTGTCACATCTCTTTCAGTTATCTCTTGTCCAGGCTGAAGATAATTTCTTGTCTGAGAGCAGTATTTTCATCATAGTATCCTAAATGCATAGCTAACATATTTCCTATTCATCGGCAATACCAAAAGCGTGAATTTTAATGAGAAAGCTGTATCTCTGGAAACTGGAGTCCTCTCTTATCCACAGAGAAAAGTCGCACTTCTGTTTGTGAGTTTCAGTTGCAATAGGGAAGAAATGCTGCACATAGCCCAAACCTTCTCTCCTTGACTCCTTAAACTTCGATACCTCTGGAAATGACAGAATTGAAGTCCCTCTTCAGTAAAGCACTTTCCAAACATGCTTTTCAAGACCACTTCTTAGGTTCTTTGGGGGCTTTCTGATATAGGGAAGAAAAGTTAGAAATTAACTCTCATTATCCAGGGCACCTACTTTGCTGGGTTAGTGCAGAACATCCTGTAAAGCAGATAGATATTCATAATGATCAGTACTCACACACTGCAAGTAAGCAGAGTCAAAGACTGCCACTGCTTTTGTGTTTCAAGCCTACAATACACAGCAAGTTTTGAAGAAGCAACCTGGAATAGCCTGTCTATCAAACCCATTTTTTTAATTGTGTCAGCCTATTAAGGAGCAAAAAATGGCCTAAACAGACTTCACCCTACAGACTTTTCCTGTATCTTCTGTCCTGCCACAGCAGAGCTTTCAGAGTCTCCAGTTTCCCTGTATTTGAACCTGCCTTTTATGATCAAAGAAGCCTTCCACAGTTTTCTGACATTCAGTGTCTGCCTAGATCTTCACAAAAATCATACAGCACATACTCTGAGGTGTACAGTATGGCAAAATACACTTGCTTCAGCATGAATGTACTAGGCCAATGACAGACTGACTTTGTGCTTATGGACAAAGTATGTCTCATGAACTATCATGAGCTTAACTTAAAAGTATATTCAACATCTGTTGTGCTGACAGAGACTAGCAGATGTTTTGATTTTGCCTACCTTTTTTTTTTTATCTTGGAAGCTAGCCGTATGATATTCTTAGTGTGTACTGGGCCTGTCCACAAGTGAAGATGAAATTCCTATGACTAAACTTTGTCACTGTCTGAATACTGTGGAGCAATATGAATCTTGTTTTTCTTTTTTATTGCTTGAACTAATAACCCATAGCTTGGATCATTCAAATGCTTGTTTGCTCTGCTGAAGACTAAAACATCCAGACCTCTGCCTGAAAGGAGAAACTTTTGGCAGACTGACTCTTCTCCTCCTACGTAATAATCTTTTCCCGAAGTCATGTGGACAGACATTTTGCCCTCATTTAAGGGCCATGTACTCTTTTCAGTCTGTGTCAGAACTCCCAGAGGTGTCAACAGGATTTGCATGTATAAATCAAAACTGACTGCCCTCAATTTGTGTGTGTTTAAACAATTTATGTGGGAAGTCTTAACTTCAAGTTTCTAGCCCAGAACAACTTCTCTTAAAATAATTAAAGCCAGTGAATTATTGCCATTCGACAGGATTGTAAAGTATCTATTCTGTCTTTCTGATGTTAAAACAAGTGATAATTTAATAGGTGAAACTCTTTTCTCCTTTTTGAGAGTACTCTAATTTTTACAGAAAATTCTTCATTTCCTCCATGCATGTTGCTTCACATTCTGTTTAAGCCAAGGGCTGAGGCCTAAAATGTCAAAAAAACCCCACTCAGTTATTATGACTAAGATCTTGATTGCTTAGCTTTGGTACCACAGTACCAAACGTAAAATACATCCCGATCTCTCCTCCGTACTCCTTTCACTACTGCCACGAAGAAAATATTCAATAGTCAGAAACTGCTGAGGCAGCATGTTCCAGCAATACATCCAACAGTAGGGAGCTCTCAAGGGCAGGCTCTGCTCTGCAGCAAGAATGTCGTCCTTCCTGGTCTTTGTAAAGGTTTAGGGGCAATGCATGAAAAATGTAGCTAGAACTGCCGGGAGGTAAGGCACTGGCTGTACTGGAAGGGGGAGGCTCTCAGGGGTAAGAACTTGTGTTACAGGACTCAGGAGATGGACCTGTTCTCCCTTCCTCCCAAAAGATATAGGAGGAAAGTGGAAGAAGCAATTTTCTAAAGCCCCTTCTTCCCCTCCTCTCCTAGAATAGTTCTGCTGCTGCTGCTTTCATTTAAACCATAAAGACTTTGGATGTCACCTACCAGGGACTGGCACTTCTCCCCCAATACCATATTAATAGCTCCCTGGTGGCAAATTTGAGAGGTCATTTTCTGAGAATGGAAGTGTTTCTCCTCCCACTCTGTAAATACTATTCCTGCAAGCTCTGGTCCTCATAGAGAGTCCGAAACACCCGTGGTTGAAATACTGCCTGACATCTGCAAAGGGAAGTGGACAGTACAGAGCAATCCCATATCCTGCCAATGCCTGAAATGGAAGAAAGAAGTCTGGCTCTACTAGCTCCGTATTATGTGAGGTTTCCCCAGATCGACAATGTGTGCTTGAGCACAAAGAAAGGCTTAGAATGAGCTTAAGTAACACCAGGTTCTTACTTCTGTTTTTAAGATGTCGTTTTACCTCTAGTTTAGATAAAATTTAAAGTGCTGCAAGATTCCTACAGAAGACTTAACATTTCAGTTGCAGCTATGTTTCCACTGTAGCACAAAGTTGCTAACAGAACATCTGTACTGTAAAAACAAAAATGACCTGCATTTCTCCAAAAATTGTAGGGTATGTGATACTGTGGCGTTGTCTCTGCAGGCACAAATACTGTGTGGGTTGAGTACAAGGATGTAATCTGTCCAGCTGTATTTGGGGGAACACGAAGTGGGGGTGGGAGGGGAGGATGGGGGGGAATATAATGCTTTTCTTCTCCATATTTGGAAAGATGCTTGGCCATGTTTCATTGAGTAATTCAACCTAAAAGCTATTTGGCTAAAGGACAGCAATCCTCAGACAGTTTGTTTGCATAAGGGTTTTTAAGCAGGGGTAAAGTTTTCCCTTTTGTTTAGTAAGCAGTGTGCTGTTAAATGACTATATGATCTTGCAGGGAGACAGTAAAGAACTACCGGAATTCATGAAGTCTGGGGATTTTAATAAGACAATTAAAGAGATACAGGAATGTGATTGTAAAAGCAGTTAGAAGTGCTGCTCTTAAGTTTCCTTTTTGAGACCAGTCAGCCCTCTTCTGTCACATGACAAAGGCAGTTTATTTACAAAATCTAGTGTTTTCTGTTACCTGCTGTTTTGTAATGGAATAGAGTCACAGTCCAGCACCACCTTCTTGTGCACATTGTCATCAGAAGCCACATGAAATCTGCATTTTTTTCCAAGTAGTGAAGCCTAGGGCAGATATTTTGACCTTCAGGGACACTTAAAGGGGGTAAAACTTCTGCTCTCCACTTCCCCATCTGCTACAGATCAGTATGAACCAAAGCACAAATAATATGCATGAATACAACAGGGAAAAGACCATCAAAAGCAGAGGGCTTAAGCACATCAACATGGAAAGGATTTGTAAAGAGCTGGCAGACAGGCTTGGAGAAGGCAATTTCATTACAACAGAGATTTCCCCTGGAAATGGTGCTTTCAGAAAAGCTTAGTGAACATATAGTGAACAGAATGCTTGCTGCTTACACACACACACATGACCTCTTCCACCATCTGCAAGATGAGTTTTTCTCTTGCAAGCACAACCACAAGGATAAAATACTTTCCTGAGGATTTCACAGGCTGAGTCCAAGCTTTTTATGTTACAGTTTATTCCAGAAATTATTCTATAGTTTTCTCAAATCATGTCGGGAGCACACTGGAATGCTCTCAACATCTTCACTCTTTCCCTCAGACCATTAGATCGTGTTTATTACAGGTTCTGATGCTCAGTAATGCTTTATTTATTGTCTCCTCTCTGCACAACTACGTTGAATGTCAATGATTTTAAGGACAGTTACCTGTGTTATACCCAAAGGAGACTATAAGAGAAGAGTTATTCACTACAAGTCACTGATTCTTTCTGAAGTCTTTTGCACACTAAGTATTCATGGATTGAAAATAAATTTCCCCTTACCACTTCATTTTTTCTTGGATTTTGCTTCACATCAGTACCATGCTAGGGTCTCAGTCTTGCATCCACAGTCAGATCTCAGCTGTTCACCTGTTTACTCCTTTTCTACTGTGAACTCACTGTATGACAAATATATTTACAGCTTGAATTGCTGACTTCATTCTGCTGTCCTTACACATACAAACACAGCTTTCTGTTGAACTAGTGAGCATTTCTGTGCAGCTTGACTGCAGGGCCTGGGTAACATAGAAGAATACATATTTTCACATATTGTGCAAGTATCAAGGACTAATTTATAATTATCCTATTATTCTTTGCATTCGCAATTCTGATGAGATCGTTAAGATTGAAATTAACTGCTATGTTCGCAGTTAGTCATACCTGATTGCAGTCTCTCACACTGGCAGTACAGGAGGTCCATATGAAAAATGGCCAATGACATGAATTGTTCCTCCTTTGCTAAATCCATCCTCCTTTCCTTTGCTTCTGAGTCCTGAAATGTGTAGCATTTATAGATCTAAATCTGGTGTTACAAAAACATGGGGAAAACAAGAGAACTGACAGTTACCTTTCCAACAAACTGAACTGCCTTAAGAGAAAATTACTTGTTACGACCTGAAGACTCAGCAGTATCAGCAGCACATTGTAATTGCATTGATCTACCTCAGTTAGTAGCCCCTTGCAGAAACCAGACACTTCCTCCACTTCCACCTCCCCGTTTTGGCTATACATTTCTGTTCTTTCATTCTGGTCTGTGCAAAGACTGACATGATGTCTAGACCAAGTACAACATAGATGAAGAACATTGTAAGGTATGCCAGTGGTGTGACTCAGACCACAGTGAATGCAACTGCGGCATCTTTTCTTTTAATCCTCCAAAGACCAGTGGTGCAAATCGACTTGCTGAGGATTTCAGTGGTTGTAGCAACTTTAAGCCAGCCCTTTCAAGACAAAAAGGTTGCCTGTTATCACAAAGGAGAAGCAGAGTAGCAGCCCAAGCATGGTGTTGCAGCCTTTATTTTGCTGTCACATGAGCAAAAAGTTTAACTGATCCAGCCCATCAGCTGCACATCCTTCAACACCAAAACTACTCCACATATTGTAAGAGTGTCTGATTGCTACTTTCTCCTCAAGCACTGAGTGGCAAAAGGACACCTAAGAAGCAGATTTTTATGAAGTGCTTAGACTACTACATAAATGTAAAACATGTTGGAATCATATATCAAATACATCATTTTCCTAAGTAAATATCTTCTGTCACTTAAGTCTCGTCATTTGCAGTGGAATTTGAGTATTGCTAGAAAGTCAAAGGGACATTATTGGATCCCTCTTCCATCAGCTGACACTCCAGTAAAGAAAGAGTAAATAATTCAATTAAATGTAAATGTGGGGTTTGACTTGCAAAGGCACCAATGTACCTGTGTATTCCATGGCACTATGAAATGCCAACAAAAGTAAACTAAAGCAAAGAGGAGGACTAGAAAATTAAGACTGGCAAGAAAATTACCAATGAAAGGTAAAGAGCTGAAATCAACAGGTTTACATGGCTAATCTATCCCAAGAGAATTTTTCTGAGACTAAGTTACTCCTGGAAATTGATTTGAATAGCTATAGAACTGTTTAAAACTAAACTAGTGGCTAAAATGAACCCAAGTTATTGCCTCATAATGGTCTAGAGATTTAAATATGTAGAGAGGCTAGTTGAACGGGGAGTGGGTTCTAAATTTGGGCAGGACATCGCCTTGGGGGTGTTTCCTTCTCCCAAAGTGATTCACAGACAGCAAGGCAGTATGGAAATCCCTCCAAGCAATAGACTGTAATCTCACACTCGGCTACCGGGAATTTTTCATAACTAGCGCAGAAGATTATTGTCACTGTTGGTACATCCATGCGTGTATATATTTACATACACGTTAGATGCACATATGCAGGTGCCATCCCTGCCTTTCATGCACATATCCTTGTGCACCCTCACCCCGTATATTCAGACACCTCACCGTCCCTTCAGTGAAACTCAGATCAGTAAGGTATTGCTACACCTTCGAAGTTGGAAAACTGAGACCACGGGCGGGTGAAGCGTCCCCCCCGAACAAGAGCGGGGCACTGTGACAGAGCCGGGAGCGGGATCAAAGCCCACCCCCGTCAAACCTCCCAAGCCTCAAGCGCATCTCTCCGCAAAACAAAGGGCTAAATTAACCGCGATTAATTCAGCACGTGTCAGTGCAAGCCCTCGCTCCGTCCCCGCGAGCTGCAGCTCCGGCACCGCCGGCGAGGGAGCGGAAAAGGCGCTTCTCTCGCTTTCGGGGCGGTTTTTTCCGCCTTCCCCCCCCCCCCGCCCCAACCCCCTTGTCCGGAGCCCGGCACCGCGCCGCTTCGGCTCGGCGCGTTTCCAGTGACCGCCCTCCCGCCTCCCCTCCCCGGCTGCCGCGCTGGCCCTCGCCGGCCGCGTGGGACCCATCGGGGCGGGACGGGGCGGGGAGGGAACGATTCGTTACCGAAAAGCGAGGGGCCGGGGCGGGAGGGGAGGGGGGGGGGGGGGTAAGGTTGAGGGGGGAGCGTGTGTTGTGCCGGGGGTGGGCAGCCGAGAGAGGGGCGTGAAAGGGGCAGCGCCTCAGCCGCGGGGGAGGCCCGCGGCGGGATTAAAGGGCGCGGATACCTGCGGGGGGCTCGGCGGGGAGGCAGGCCGGCCGCCCCTCCGAGGAGCGGGGAGGTGGGGCGTGAGGGGGCGATCAGCCGCTCTCCTCCGGCGGCTGCCGGCGTCTCCGCGATGTGGCCCTTGGTGGCTCTCTGCTGCTGGGGGGGGCTGTCGCTGTCGCTGTCGCCGTCGGGCGCCGTCTCCCGCGCCCCCACCTTCGCCTCGCCCGCCCTGGCGGTGCCGCCGCTGCCCGACACGACGGAGAGCAAAGTGGAGAAGCTGGGCCGCGCCTTCAAGCGCCAGGTGCGGCGGCTGCGGGCGCGCAGCGGGCGGCTGGAGCTGGTCTTCCTGGTGGACGAGTCGTCGAGCGTGGGGCCGGCCAACTTCCTCAGCGAGCTGCGCTTCGTCAAGAAGCTGCTCTCCGACTTCCCCGTCGTGCCCGCGGCCACGCGCGTCGCCATCGTCACCTTCTCCTCGCGCAGCAACGTGGTGCCACGCGTGGACTACATCTCGCGGCGGCGGCCGCAGCAGCACAAATGCGCCCTGCTGGGGCGCGAGATCCCCGCCATCGCCTACCGCGGCGGCGGCACCTACACCAAGGGCGCCTTCCAGCAGGCGGCGGTGAGCCGGGAGCCGCGGGCGGGGAGGCGGGGGCTGGCGCCGCGCGGCGGGCTGGCGCGTGCGGTGAGGGACGCGTGGCCGTTGGGGGGGGCGGGGGGGGGGCCGGGGTGTGGTGAGGGACGCGTGGCCGTGAGGGGCCGTGTGGGGTGCGTGGTGAGGGACACGTCGTCGTGAGGGGTGTTGTGGGGTGCGTGGTGAGGGGCGCGTGGCCGTGAGGGGCCGTGTGGGGTGTGTGGTGAGGGACGCGTCGTCGTGAAGGGTGCTGTGGGGTGCGTGGTGAGGGGCGCGTGGCCGTGGTGGGGTGCGTGGTGAGGGACGCGTGGCTGCGGTGGGGTGCGTGGTGAGGGACGCGTGGCCGTGGTGGGGTGCATGGTGAGGGACGCGTCGTCGTGAGGGGTGTTGTGGGGTGCGTGGTGAGGGGCGCGTGGCCGTGAGGGGCCGTGTGGGGTGCGTGGTGAGGGACGCGTCGTCGTGAGGGGTGTTGTGGGGTGCGTGGTGAGGGGCGCGTGGCCGTGGTGGGGTGCGTGGTGAGGGACGCGTCGTTGTGAGGGATGCTGTGGGGTGCGTGGTGAGGGACACGTGGCCGTGGTGGGGTGCATGGTGAGGGACGCGTCGTTGTGAGGAGTGTTGTGGGGTGCGTGGTGAGGGACGCGTGGCCGTGAGGGGCCGTGTGGGGTGTGTGGTGAGGGACGCGTCGTCGTGAAGGGTGTTGTGGGGTGCGTGGTGAGGGGCGCGTGGCCGTGGTGGGGTGCATGGTGAGGGACGCGTCGTTGTGAGGAGTGTTGTGGGGTGCGTGGTGAGGGGCGCGTGGCCGTGAGGGGCCGTGTGGGGTGTGTGGTGAGGGACGCGTCGTTGTGAGGAGTGTTGTGGGGTGCGTGGTGAGGGGCGCGTGGCCGTGGTGGGGTGCGTGGTGAGGGACGCGTCGTTGTGAGGGATGCTGTGGGGTGCATGGTGAAGGACACGTGGCCGTGGTGGGGTGCGTGGTGAGGGACGCGCGGCCATGAGGGACCATGTCGGGGGTGTGGTGAGGGACGCATGGCCGTGAGGGGTGTTGTGGGGTGCGTGATGAGGGACGCGTCGTCGTGAGCGGTGTTGTGAAAGGTGCGTGGCCGTGGTGGGGTGCGTGGTGAGGGGACGCGTGGCCGTGGCTGAGGTGAGGTGTGTGGTGAGAGGTGATGGACAGGGTGCGCCGGGGCTGGCTGTGGGCAGTGAGGGGAGGTGCAGCGGGGTGTGCGGTGCGTGGGTGTGGTGAATGTGCGTGGGGTGGCGTGGGAGTGTGGTTCTGCGTGCCGTGCGTTCAGTGTCGAGGGGTGCAGGTCTGTACGGTGGGATGCAGAACGGTGTGGTGAGGGGTGAGGGACAGTTCCGTCCTGATGGCAACTAGTCACCGTCTTCCCGCGCTGTCTGCGCCTGCAGTTCCCATGTTTTCTGCTGCCCTTGCAAACAAATCTGTGAAATTCACTCTCTGAAGGAGCATGGAACCAATGTCCCGATTTCAGAAGTGATATATATGAGTCAAGTCTGGCAGCTGAAATGTCTGCCTTGTTTCTTGGCAGCAGGAGTTGGGTGCCTGATACCTGTCAGCAGTTAGAGACATCTCCATACTGTCGCCAGGTGACTATTTTAATTGCTGTTGACTGACAGAGGTGCCCTTAAGTTGTGTGTAGTATACCAATAAACATATCCAGGAATGTTTCCAGACATTAGAACATGATCATCAGTGGTGTTGTGACGCAGTCCCATGGCACAAATTTGGTCTAGGTGGCTCCTGGGCATGTGTTGGCAGTTGAGCATGTTGGGGAGGTTTCCCAGTAGATGGCTTGTGGACAGCCAATCTACCCTGGAAGCCTTTTTACGAGGTTAGACCAGGCTGCTCCTTGCCATTTGGCTTCTGTGTGCAGGAGCATTCCCAACCCAGATCTGGTTTTCTGTTGGTTTTATGTCTAATTTCTGGCAGTGTCCTGTAGCTGAGCATTGCGTGTACTTCTCTTGAAACACCTTACATGCTCTCGTTTAGAGTTGATGGGTGAGACTGCAAGAAGTGCATCAATGCTGGGCTTATGAAATTGGCAAAGATTATTCTCTTCTTCACATTTGGCAGGAGAAAGGAAGACCATTTTCTGATGTGCCCGCAGTCGCACATGGAAAACCTGCTTTAGGAAAACACATCTCTGTTAGATGTTCCACTGTGAAGTCAGGTTTCAATATAGATCCATCCTAGGAGTGCTGTGTGAAAAAGTTAATGATAGGAGTTAAAAACAACCATTACAAACAAAACATAAGCTTAAGAAATACCATCTGTTTTCTTGATATAGAGTCTTGACTAATCGTACCTTTGAAAGGGAATAAACAACAATTTCCTTCAGAAACGTACAATTTAGTTTTATGAGCCCAGCTAAACCTTGTGGCAACAACAGCATCACTGTCATTTTACACTGTGGTCTCATAAGAATGTGGGAAGAAAAATAGTTGTATGGTGGCAGGGAGAATTGTGATAAAATGACAAAGTTAAATTTTGGGCTGCTTGTTGGCTGTTGGTTAAAGATAGGGTACTGTGGTTTTGTTCAGTATGTCTTCTTCATGTGAGACAAATTACAGCTTCGGGGAATACTCTCCTTTCTAGGGACTCTTCAGAATGTGACTGTTCTAAGTTTGAAATACTACTATTGGAATAAATCTAGAGAAGTATTTTAAGTATAACAAGATTGTTGTTCCCTCTGGACTCTTACATTGCTGTCCTTTTGGTTTTAACTGTCTTCTGGTACAGCTATAATTATTTCTTCTTCCACTTCCCTAAAATGTCTCTTTTTTTTCTTCTTAAGCCTCAGTGTGGGGTTTCTTCTGCTTCTAACCAGAATTCTCTGCATCTTTTCCAAAACCAAAAGTGTCTGCAAAGCATGACAAACTCCCTGAAATAGTATCAGTTATGTGTTGTAGTAACAGAAAATGAAGGAAAGTGCATTGTTAGAATAATCCCAGCACTTAAGTTGTCTTGCAGCACTCTTCGTTGGTAGGTCTCAAACTGATTAGTTCAAGCCTGTGACAGTTCTACAGAAACTAGGGAGGCAGAGAGATAAGTGAATTCTACAAGGTCATCAGGCCGGTCAGTGGCTGACCTGGGAACGTCAGAGAAGAGGAGCAAGACTTACTTAGCAGTTAGCTGCCTCAGAACCTGCGGCAGCAAAACAGCTCATTTAACATTACCCTAAAAGCAGAGCTACTCAGTTTGACAAACTGTTGCACATCCATATAATGTCCATCTTCTTTCAAAAAATATGGGAGTTCTTGTCACTGCAGTTTTGCATTCTCTCCAGAGGTGCTTTGCAGACAGGTTTATGTGCTTTGTCAAAGCTGTCTGTGCTTACCTTTGCCATATGGACCACACTTTAACACTCTGACATTCCTACCTAGCAAATTAAAGATAAATTCTATGAGGTACACAGAAATCTGAAGGATGTACCACAAGAGACAGTGTCAAGACACAGCATCCTGATGGAGAAGGCTGAGCTGCTATCAGTGTTTGATTTTGCAACCCTGTTTGGAGTTTCATGCCACACTTGATCTAGCAAGTTCAGCTAGTCTTAAGACAGAGTCTAAGAAAGGGGAAGAAACTAAGCTCACTCATTCAAAACTCTTACGCCTCAGTTTCTCACATAGTGAGTTGGTGGGACAGCACAAACTACATGCAGATTATGTTAAGCAGGTTGTGTATTTCATTATGGAAAGCTGCAGAGCTGTTGTGACAGCAACTAAGAAGTGAAGCAAAACTAATAAAAGTGCACACAGGTTTGAGCAAGCGTTGCTGCTGATGACTAAGGAATGCATCTAAAGCCCAAACTGCTTCCTGGTTCCAAGTGCTGAATTTCCCAGCTGTAGGCACCTGGATTGGAGCTTCTGATCCTGAGAGACAACCACCGCTAAGAGCACCTATTGCATCTTGCATCTCATAGGAGGGGTGTGCATTTGTTGGAACATCTGTCATGAAATAGAAGCCAGTGATTGACGTACAGCAGTGAATGTTTAATGGTGTATTCTTGTCTTAGCCCCCAAAAGTCACAGTTACATATGTGCCATCTTTACTGATGGACAGTTTAAACATCCTGAAGCTGCACTGCTTGTTGTGGCCTAAGAGAGATGAACATACAAATTATTTAAACCTCTCCATGTGGCAGCCTCTTGACAAAATAATAATAGCTGCCTCTCAGACATGATTGCTTTTGTCTTCCAATGCAAGTGAAATGGGAAGTATTTCTCTTCAAAACTGAACTTGGAAGTTGTAGGTGTGCACTGCTCTTGAGCTGAAGTCAGCGATAGCACATAGCCAGCCTTAAACAGACAAGTCAGTTGTTCAAAGCGACTTAGCAAAGCAGTTGCTGAGGGAGGCTTTGGGAGTTGCTCCCTATTATTGTAATAATTGCTGCACTAAAAAGCTGGGATTTTTGTGTTTTGTCTTCACTCCGTTGAAGTCAGTAGTATATGTA